CTTTAACTGATCGTTTAACAAGTTTAATACGAATTTGAAACACAAATAAACGTGATTATCCATCTTTTAAACGTTGCACGATTTCACATATATGTATGTAATATATACATATAGATATATTTCTCGAAATAATCAAATCACTTAAAGAGTTGATCTTTGTCGTGTAAACTTTCTTTTTAATTTGATAATAATTATTTATTATGTGACTGCAGGTGACCGCGCTGTTCGAACGCGTAAAGGAAACGATAGCTGAGCGTATATTAGTGAAGTCGTGGTTAGACGATGAAACCAGAACGCAAGCATTGCAGAAGTTAAATTCCTTACGGGGTCGATTTCATGTGTCATCGGATTTTTACAACGATACCTTACTGACGCGTGAGATGGCCGAGGTGAAACAATGATCTTCTTCATCTTTATCGAAAAAATCATTCTCACATTTCATAATATTTTTAAGAATTTATTATATTTTCAAATTTATGGAGATTTTTTCAAAGTGTTGAAAATTTTTATTAAATTTTACAAGTTTTATTTCAAATATTATAGAAATGATCGAGTAATCTTAACATTTTTTTAATATTTTAGAATTCACATATATGAATATGTAGTATATGATTCACATACACTACAGAAAAGATGTGACTAAAACACTTTTTTAGAACTTCTAAAAGTGTTCAATTTGTATAAAAGAGTTTGAAAAGTTTCCTAAAAAGTTATAAAAATTATACAAAATAAAAATAATAAAAGATTTTCAAGATTATATAAAAATTCTAAAAAATACTAAAAAAAGGTCCCCAAGAATACACAGATAAATATTGAACGCGATTAAAACAAAAGGAATAGATTCAATTCTCCTTCATAAAGTAAAACGTAAAACTATAATTTACCATATAATGAAAAGACGATGTAAACTTTGAAATTATCTCTATCGTCTCTTTTATCGGTATTTTTAAACAACATTGTCTCGTAGGTCATAATCGACTCGGATGATTTTATTACCACCGTCCTGAACAGGTTCCGTCAACTTCAAAGATCAAAAGATCAAAGTCCGTTACGAAAAAACGCAATAATAAGGTGAGAGGAACTTCTATTTTAGCCTTTTAATCATAGGTCCGTGAACTATATTAGATAGAAACAAAAGTTCAACACCAAACTATATTTATATATAAACAGTCCTTTTTCTTTGTTATTTCTTCTGCTTTGTTTTTTGTAAATTTTGTGTTATGTTTTTGTACTATTTATAAGGCTAATTCTACAATCTCGATCAAAAAGACAAAAGACAGAGACAAACAGCAAGAAACAGGAAACAAAAAGCACATTGTAGAATTAGCCAAAGTTTCATATTATAAATTTATCAGTGTTAGATCAATTTAGATTCTATAATTTAGATCCTATATAAATATACAGAAAAGAAAAAAGAACCACTCATCAACAATTCATTCCCTTCGAAATCCTTCTAAATTGTAGATTATGCTTTTAGGAATCACTATCCTTACTCCGTGCATGCCTATTACGAATCTTCCACAAACACCATCGGTAAGTAGTATTATACGATGCAAGTAAAACTGCGGTATCGAGCAATTTAAATAAATTAAATTATCCTTGTTAAAAACGATAGAAATTCCATTGGCGATGATGACATCCTGGGCATGGTCGTGGGACGGTGGACCAGCTTTTGCGGTACACGCTACATTAGGATCGGTCATCGCCCACGAGATTCTTCATGCTTTCGATTTTCACCATCGTAAATTGCCCATGGAGCCGGATCGGGACATTGACGAATGGCTTCGCGTCACGCCAGACTCTTGGAAACGATTGGAGACCAAGATAGAATGCATCGCGCGACTTTACGCCAGGAGTTTCTGGCGGAAGGTCCAGTCTTATGGGAACGACGTTGCTGTGCAGGTAACCGAAATTATTAATTCAACGTCGAATCGATATCGATTCGATGAGTCATTTCTCAGACAAGAACAGGAACATCTCTCTTTTCTTATTCTTAATTTTATAATTGCACAGTTCGATTGGAACATGACAAAAAATGAAAATGTCGCGGATATTGGTGCTCTGCAAATTTCCCACAAGACTTGGCACATTTTGACGAACGGGAAGGATCGCAGCCTTCCCGGATTGGAGGGACTACGACCAAGTCAGCTTTTCTTCATAAGTGCCGCACAGGTAATCCCCTTCTCTCCAAATATCTCTCTTTTTATATAAACATTCTATCATTTTACAAATAACAAACTAATCTGCCACCATTAAAATTATTACATATATACATGTAATTATACAATATGTGTAATTTCTATTTGTTATATTTATCTTTACAATTCCCTTACAATTTACATAATACAAAATTTGTTATGTATAATGTGTTCAAAGATAAGAGATTATCCATTATCTTTATTTCTTGTTTTCTTTTTATGTTAACTTCGTGTAAAAGTAATATATTGTATTGATACCATTGTGTTTTTAGGTACACTGTGTTAATACGACTCTCGAAGCCTACGTCTTCTCCGTTGAATTCGATTATCATGCTCCTCATCCTGAAAGGTACTGGATATTTTTCTTATTTTTTCTGATTTATGCAAAATTTACTCAGAGTAAAAGTATAACGATTGATTATACGCGCGACGATTGATTTCCAGAGTCAACAGTGTAATGATGAATTCTCAAGCGTTCGTGGAGGCGTTTCGCTGTCCACTCGGAACAAAAATGAACCCGCCGAATAAATGCACTGTTTGGTGATGATAGTATATATTTGTCGATATACGAAATATATATCGAGATTGTGTAGCAGGTTGTCTTTATATTTCGCTTTATTTTATTTCGCGCAAGTACAATATTGTAAGATCACTTTCGGATCATAGTTCGCAGCAAGAATTAATACTACAGGAATATACATTTGCACCCTTACGTGAAAGCTAGATTATAATAACACTTAATTCATCATAATTGCAATACATTTTTCCTTTTCTTTTTTTTTAAAATATCAGCTTAATTCTAGAATCATTAAATAATTCTTATTGATCTTACATTTGTGAAAAATTTCCTTCTTGAATTCTTGCCTTCTAAATTATGTAGATTTAAGATAAAAGAAAGTAAAGTGTGTTCTGGCACTCGATCGTTCGTTTTTTGAACCTCTGAAGGACGTAAAAATATAGTACAAGTAAATTCTAAAATAAAATATATTGTTATTGATTTAATTCTCACATCAATATTAATAAAAATCATTTTTAAGAAAATAAAAAATTATTTATATTATTTTGTAAGCTTAAATTTTATCTTAAAAGTGAGATGTTAACTGTTGATAGATGAACTTTTGGGCTTTCAAAAGTGTTAAAAAAAGCTTTAGAATATAAATCTGTTCAAAATTTAATCGTCGCTTTTTAAATAGTTGTTACATAGAATAAGAATTAAGAACGCGAGATACATACCTCTTCGTTTTTTTGTAGTTCCTCTAGAATTGATAAAAAAATTATTAAATTTAGATTTCACAAAAAATCATTATCCGCCCGTAAATGCTGTGAACAAATTTGTTAATGACATAACAAATTGTAGTCAATTGTGTCGATTTGAAGCGACTAGTAATGGCTTGCAAGGTACTGCAATCAATTATAACGAATTGTAAAGATCTATACCAATTTATATTTATAATAAATTATACCGAGTTGTAATAATAAGTAAAATAAGAGGAGCGCGTAAACAGATCGATGGTCTCCGATAATGACGTTAGCAACAAAAATTGGATTCACAATAAGCAATTATACGTAACGTAATAAATTACTAACGGTAATACGTACGTTTCTTTTGATGCTGTTGATAAAATATTAAAGAAATATTACATATTAATTGTTGTTATGGTGCTGGAAAATATAATATATAGAAGTAACATACTCGTATGTACGATAGGAATAAAATCTGTGATACATGTATATCAAATATGTCCTTATTACCAATTTCTGACAAATTCATTTTTGTTGGTAATGCCATCGATATAGCAAAAATAAGTTTGTATACTGAAAATATCTTTAGGCATTCTATTTTAGTTGAACGAAACTGCAGAGAGAAGATATGTCATATATGCTGATTGCTCGCTCTTAAATTGTTCGTAAATTTGTCGCAAGAAGTAAAACAGTTTATACTAGATGTATATTAAACGTGTTTTAACCGAAAAAATTTGATTGATGAGGTAATGTCCGTTCTCTCTATAATCTTTTAATTTTTTATATTAAATAAGACAGTAAGTCTTTTAATAAGATAAGTACTTAGTAATATAAGTAAGAAAGAGGCAAAAAATGGATTTATTATTTAATTTAGAAATAAAATTTGATTCTTATATATTACTTCTATATATTCAAATATAAATTGTATAAATACGTATATCTTAAACCTTTCGGAATTTTAAGACTATATCGCGCAGAAACAAAATATGAAAACAAAAAATATTCACAAAAATTAAAATATTACCTTAAAAAGGAATATTTTGTCTATTATTAAAAAATTAATAACAATAGATTAATAACAATAGATTTACATTAAATTTGCACTTTATAATAACAATTTATAATAACAATTGCAACAATTATAATATACAGCAACATATTCAGTTAGTGTCTTGTTAAATTGCAGAATAATTACGCTTAATATTATGCAAAATATTACATTTGATTACACACTTAATGTTAGAATGCTTATATTTAATATCAAAGTACAGGCCATTTGTTATACAGACTTATTTTGTACTACATATAGCTATAAATAAATGAAGAATTAAAATGTTACATTACACAATTGTGCAATTATATGGCACAATATGTTAAAAAAATTAAGATGTGTATTAAATTTAATATATAAAAATAAATAAATAAAAATTAATTTATAAAAATATCACATAATAAATCACATAAAAAAATTCAACACAGAAAAATTAATACATATGAGTCAAATAAGATCACATACTATTAATGTTAATACTGATGTTAACATGTTGATTTACGCCAAGCTATTTTACGTTATTTATTTTTGCAGTATTTTGTTAAATAGTGCAAATAAGTTTAAATATTGTCATAATCAACATTTCCCGTTCTTACGGCTTCTACAAATTTTGCAAACTTTTCATATGAGCCTCGATGTTTTAAAACAAATGGCTGATCTTTCATTCCATCTACCCATTCCATCTGAAACAAAATGAACGCAATGGATCAATAAATAATTATTTTCCTTAAATATGAATGGTAAAAAATCCATTACAATTCCAAATACAATTTGAATATATAGACAAGAAAAAATTATATTTAACATTTAACTATAAATATACATACAGTGTTAATGAATTTAAATTAGTGTGGAGAAAATTGTTAAATACATAAATTTTCAAAATTTTTATAATTGAGTTAACAAATTTGAAAATAATATTACTGAATACATTATTTCTTGCTTACAATACGGGGAAATCTTTCCTTGTCGAGACTTGCACGTTGTTTGTAAAGTATAGTTAGAGCCTTTGCGCGCTCAAACCAAGGCCATATTAGAACGTCCAACATATTTGGATTACTCCCTGGAACAAAAGATATATTTCTTATAACAATAAATATTATACTTATTATTCAGTCAATAAATGATCAAAAAATTATTAATAATTTTAAGATATATATTTTAGACTTAATAATATTAAGATATATAAAGAAAGATAAAGGAAATATACAGTGGATTTATACAAACCTCCGAAAAAGGTTGTCTTGCGTACATTAAGCTCGTCTTCAAATTCTTGTAAATCATTTGTTACTTCAGAGAGAATCTCTTCAAACTGTCTCTTGTCTTTACCAAATATGCAATTTGCAAAAGTATCCATAATCTGTAAAGAATACAGAGTGTAATTATTAAAACATTATTTCTTGAAAAGAAAAACATTAGATCTCAATGTCGTGATAAACACCTTAGAGAAGTGATCTAGCAGCTCTAAATCACGATTCTTTGTTTCATTGTTGTATAGAGGAGGCTCAGGGTACTTCTCATTTATGTGGTTTGCTACTGCTACAGAGTCCGTTATTATTGTACCATCCGAATCTATATAAAGTGGTACTTTGCCATCTGGATGAATCTAAAAAAATATTTCCGTACATATTAATAACAAGAATATACATTCAAACTTGTAAACGTTTGTCATTCTTTCGAAAACTCTTTAGACTTGAATCATATTGAATCATTCCTTTGAAAATAACTCGATGCGTACTTCAAGAAACCACTGTGGCTTGCTCTGCAAATTGATATTGACAATATCATGTGGAATCTGCTTCAGACTCAGTACAAGGCGTATTCTATGAGCAAAGGGGCAATACACCATGCTATACAGACGCGCCTGACCTTCCACTTCTGCTGGCTTCTCGGAGCCTAAAACAAAAAGTTCAGTTTTCTCTTCAGAAAAAACTCGACATTAATGTGTCTCTAACGATGACACTATACGATACACATGACAGACACTTTGCTCATACACTCCTGGCTTTCTGTAAATGTATATCCTTTGAAAAGAGCAATTTCCTCTCGGTACAGACTCGACTGTTACATTACTTACCATCTGCCAGATGTAAGGAACTCATTTAGACAATCTGTCACAGATGAGCGATCCTGTATGCAGATCGTTAAGATACAGCGACTGCGGCCAACTGCGGCCTGCGGCGTGAATGCTTATCTTCAATGACAAGAAATGAGAAGTGTTGAAAGTTTTATTGGACGATAGCGTTTCGCCTGGCGCCATCTCCCACGCCCACGCGCACAGTTATAAACAAGGATGTCGATGATTATCGATAAAAGGGACACATGCATACACACTCAAGGTATCACAATCCAAGAAACTCATTTTCCGCAAAAATCTAAAATATATGAACTGAAATTACTTAAATAATGCTATCAGCAATGTAGTATAAGTTTATTTTATTTTATTTTTCTTCTGATTAGTCAAATCTCAATTTTTACTTCGACCATGGTTTTATCTTCTAGTTCAATACGGATTTTAAAAGCCATTGTATATACTGCTCTAAGTATAATGTAAGATGTAAATATTTCGAATGATATATAAACGTTAAATATACAGTTTATGAAACAGCATAATGGAGTGTATTGAAGATTGTGTGGTTTATTTCTATTTATATTACATTTTTAACATAAATATATTCATATATCATATTTATATTTGATTCGATTAAAATATAAGAATTATTCTATAAAAATTGAAATACAATTAAGAAAAATGCCATTAACTTTTTGATATAAACCTATATTTATAATAACAATTAATAACTTCCAAATACATTTAAATATCATTTATGTTATCATAATCAACAGTTTTCGTTTTCACAGCTTCTAAAAACTTTGCCAATTTTTTATACGAGCATCTGTATTTTAAAACAAACGGCTGAATTTTCATTCCGTCTGCCCATTTCATCTGAAAAAGAATGGACGGTGATCAATAAATAATTAATCTTTTTAAATGTGAATAATAAAATCCATTACAAATTCAAATATAATTTCGCGCACTACATATAAATAAATTATTTTTTAATCATATTTATATACATATGTATATATGTATATAAATATGATTTGTTAAAAATAATTTGTAATTATATATAAAATACTTATATTGCATACATATGAATAAATCTTAAAATTTCAAAACTTTAAAAAAAGTTCATAAATTTAAAGAATACTGTTATTGCATTCTTTACTGTTTACTTACTATATTAGGAAATCTCTTCTTGTATCTCTCAACATTTGCATGCTGTTTGTGAAGTAGAACTAAAGCCTTTCCAATGTCAAACCAAGGCCACATTAGAATGTCTAACATACCCGGATTGCTCCCTAAAACAAAAGGTACAATTTTATGACGATAAATATTGTACTTATTTCAGTCAAGAACAATCGAAAAATAATTTTTTTTAATAATATTAGAAGAAAGAATGTATAAAGAAAAAAAGAGAGTAGAAAAGAAATGCAGAGTAGATTTTTACAAACCTCCGAACAAAGTTGTCTTACGTACATCAAGCTCATCTTCATATTTTTGTAAGATATTCATTACCTCGGTGAGAATCTCTTCGAACGGTCTCTTATTCTCCTCAAATATGATATTCGTAATCATACTTACGAACTGTAAAAACAATTATTAAAGAATCATTTTCAAGATGGGAAGAAGATCTCTATATCGCTATGAACACCTTAGAAAAATGATCTATCAGCTCCAAATCACGACTTTTTGTTTCATCATTGTACAGAGGAGGCTCAGGGTATTTCTCATCCAGATAGTTCGCTACTGTGACAGATTCCGTTACTATTGCACCGTCCGAATCTATATAAACTGGTACCTTGCCAACTGGATTGATCTAAAAAAAAAATAATATTTCCGTACACGCTAATAACTAAATCCGCATCAAAATCTCTTTCGATTTTGATAATTTTAAGTTATTACTTTAAAAATGACTTGATACTTACTTGGAGAAACCATTGCGGTTTATTCTGCAAATTGATATTGATAATATCATATGGAATCTGCTTAAAATTGAGTACATGGTGGACTCTCAGAACGTAGGGGCAGTACAGCATGCCATATAGACGCGCCCGACCTTTCACTTCTGCTGGTTTCTCGGAACCTAGAATAAAAAGTTATATCGGAAAAAAATTGATATAACATGATCTTCATCGATGACACTACGTGTATATATTATAGACACTCTGCTGATATACTATTAACTTTCTATAAGCGTTTATCTGTAAAGCAACTTTCTTTCAAAATACAAACTTGATTAATCATATTACTTACCGTTTGCTAGATGTAAGAAATTCATCTGAACAATCTTTCTTCTGGATTTTTATATGAAGTTTGTTAAAATATTACGTAGACGCCAATCCTTAATGACTAAGATTGTATCTATATTATTTCCACATTTATTATATTATTTGTCTTTAACATTTATCAGAGCTATTCGAAAGCAAAATGGATGTAATAGTACTGATAATGCGTTTCTCGATAGCACTATCTCCCACATATATACGAGAATATCGTCACTTACTGATAAAAGGAATGACACACGATTATTGAACATTAAACTTTATTTTTTTTATTTCTCAAATATCAAAGTACAAGAGATATTATTTTGTAAAAAATAAAAAAGGAAGTTCACATTTTTTACATCTATTTATACGCCTACTTAATTAATAATTCTACACTTCGAAACTAGTCTGGCATCCATTCCAAAAAGGAAAGTTATACGTCACAATGTTGTGTCTGAATAGCTATGTCTTAGGATGTATGAATCTCGTCAATATTTATGTGAGCGATGAAACGCAACCTCATTTGTAACGCCGGCCTCAGTCTTCGTATAATACATTCCACCTCATTTTTCGTCATATCACCAACAAACATATATTTGATATGATATCTATAGCGATTATTAAGGAAGATATAAGTCTTTTGATAAATACTTTCAAATTAATTTTTATAGGCTCTTCGAATTTATATCTTTGTATCTAACGTCTAATCGTCCGGTAATAGACCAAAAATAAAATAATTTTAAATCCAGATTTTAAATTTAAAAAAAGCTTAAAGTCGTATATAAAGGATACAATAAATCGCAAATTGAATCCATGTAATTCAAAGTAGTTTGAGTGTGATCAACTCGTTCCAACATTTCGTACAGGCAGACTGCGAGTTCGACTACACAATGCGGTCGCTCTGCATTAAATCTCGCCAAAGTAGGGCCGATTAAATGACAGGCGTATATTAATTGTTCCTCGCTGCTTACAACTGGCTGAAGTTTCTCCTTGATAAATCTGAAAGGAAATTATTTATTATTAATTTATAATAAAATATGATAAAATAAATATTAAATATAATTTCTATTTTTAAGCGCCAATTTTGTCTCAATTTTCTTTTATGGTACAAAATTGTACTATATATATTAAAATTTATTACATAATTTATAAATATATATTTATAGTCATAACTTACTGAGGCATCGTTGTGATCTGTCCTACACCTGCATGATGCCACACGGAATGCGCTAGTGCAAGCATGTAGCTATACTTGTTTTCTAATAGGCTATTATGTGTAATATTGAAGTTAAACATTTGAAATGGCGTCAAGTTATTGTATTGCCAATTGATCAAGCCAGGACTGCTGATAGTTTCCAGTAAACGTTTATGCAACGCTGACCAATAACATTCGGGTAACGCTGCCAGTAATAAACCAACACAATTTATCCATAAATGTATCTCGTCTGATGGAACAATAGTATATCTGTGTAAATGGGATAGATAATAAAATAAAAATTATACAAAATTACAGGCAGTTTTTGTTGTATTATTCTAGAATAATAGAATTGTAGATCCCACATGCAAATTTTAGGACAGGAAAACAATACCCTTTAGCGACAACGTCCAATAAAAAGTTAGCCACCGCATCTGGAGCAACTGGAAGAGCCATGAGTTCGACGCAAGTCACATATAATGCATGTGCTGCTGGATTTGGGAATTCGTTGAATCTCCAGTCGGTAGCAGGGAAATTAGCCGTTCCAGACATTGCTTTAATATACACACAATTATTAAATTAATAAAATCTGATGTAATTCATGGATTGCCTTTTGTTTACAAAAAAATCTCAAAATCTATCATAAATAAACGAAGAAAGAATTCAGCATTTACTTTCTATTATATATTTTAATTTTTAATAAATTATTGCTCTAGTATAGCTTATTGTTCGTTTAACTTACTTTGAGAAGAGAGTTCTGATTTATTTTCATTCAAAACGAATTGTAAGGCTATATAAAATAATGATTCACACATCCTCTAGTTTATAGAAATACAATTGTAATAGTAAAACAAAAATATGATTCGTCATATAATAAAACTTTAGTTGCCTTACTTTCTACAATCCTTTGGACTAGTCGAATGTAATAATCCAATTCTGGTACCCACGAAACTGCATCGTCATTGAAGCGTGTCAAATACATTTGATAAGCTTCGGAAAGTGCCCATCCTGATGCTCTGATTTCCCGTAACGATCCCAAAACAGCGGATACCAATCGACGTTTTAACAACGGTCGATCTCGCAATTTCTTTTCGTAATAATGTAAGGTATTGTAAAGATACGTAACAGGTCGATCTGAAAAAAATGATTGCTTTCAAACAAGATTTAATCAATTCGTCAAAAGAAATCTACTTTCTTCTAGTTATATTTTTATTGAACAAAACGAGATACGTTTCAATATTAATCTTTAAGAATTAATTTGTGCGTGCATGCGTATTTATTTTTATATCATTTTATATGGAATAATGCGTAACTCCGTATAGAAAGTCGATTCATACTCAAAAAGTCTTGGGTTCAATCCTATTTCATATAGGATTGAATCATACATGTTTTAATTTATAAAAGCTGGAGAATTAAAAATTTTTTATAAAATATTTTATAAAAAATATGAGACTGCGTAGTAATAAAAAATTGTAACTCGTTTCAAAAATAAAAATAAACAAATAAAAAAAATATATATATATATACACAAATATTATAATGCATGATAGAAAAAGATTTTTTCTTTCCATCTAATTCGAATTGATAGTTTTATTAGAAACATACCATGAAATTTGTACAAACAGCCTAAATGTTCCAGTAATATTTCCAAACTCTTGATAACAGGCGGTATCTCTAGGTATCGGTGTACTACTATGTCAAAAACTGGTAAGAAGCGAAGACATACATTCCCGAAGTACACGGGCAGATTTTGATACTGGCTGGGCCCGCCACTAGTTTGTTCCATAATACCTTCCGGTGCAAACTTTTCTGGAAATTTTCTATGGAAAGCAAGATGCTTTTCATGCCAATTTGATTGTTTCCAATGCTCTGGCGAGTTCTCTTTTACAAACTCTTGTACACGGTTTCTAAACTCAGCTGCTTTCAATAATAATAATTGTATGATAAAGAAACATACTTGCGCTTCATTGCCTTCTTGAGTTCTTAACGCTAAACAAAGTACAAGTCTGTCAATGGTTACTATATTGTACTTCCAGATCATGTCGTTAATAGTGTCCACACACTTATTGACATGCTGACCGCCAACGCTATTGGCAAATTCGAATACTAGATAATCACAGAATTTCCTGAGATGAGCCGACAGCGCTCTAGCGCCTATTCTCTCAAGAATTTTGTACGCGATAGGACTAATGCGATCTGTCTCGAGTATCATTTTCCATAGAAGACATAGAAATAATGGTGGCGTGCCAGGAACAGAGAAATGCGCGATGATGTCATTTTCATTATTCATGGATGCCCAATTTCTGTATTCTTCCTCGACCGCTTTCTTTATCTGCTGTTTATTCTCCTTTGCTACGCTGTTCTGCTGGAAGAATTCGCTCAACACCGGCGGGAAACACTGGAGAGTGTGATTAGCCCAAGAATGCGGTGTATTTTGCATGATAGTATTCAACAATTCTTTACACCATGTGCCACTGAGACTGTCAGCGCCGGTGCCAGTTACATGCATGGATCGTGCTAATGTCAATACTAATGCTCGATTAAGTTCTTCTGATTCCGCAGATACAAGGGTTTTCGGCTCAGATAGGAACCTAGACAGCTGTGGTTGTACTTCTGCAGAACCCAATCCAGTAATGAGTCGTAAAGCAGTGCTTTCAACACATAAATGAAGTTGCGTTTGGTTGGTCTGTGGTACCGCTGCGAGACTGTGGAGATGCGACAATAGCTGTACCCTATAATGTGGTTGAATATGGTGCATCCTGTAACTGAACATTTCCAACAGCGTATATAAAGTTCCCCATGCATGCGATTTGAACACTGTCGGCAACAATTGGCTAATAAATCCTTTGATACCGAGACTCTCGATTTCTGTGTATACTAGCAGTCTGCTATAAGTTTCCACTAATGCTGGTGCCAATGCCATGTTGCTTTTTGACTGTGCTAACTTGATAACATGCGTAACAATGCTGTGAATTAAGCTCATTTTGGAGTGCACGGTTAAAGAATCTAAAATAGACATTGAAAGTGGCGTTGTGGGGCCATTTGCCAGAGCTGCATTGTTCTGCAAATTCTGTAAGGGTTGCTGTTGCTGATTCTTTTGTGTACCCAGAATGGTATCCACCAATGCAGCCATCGGCCTGCTAAAATACTCCTGGTTCGTTGAGTATGCGTTACACAAAAGTGCAATACGATAATCCGAACCCATGCAGAGAGAAGCATTTGGCATGACTAGATGTTGCAGAAATTCGTGGTGGACTTTCAACGTGTGTGGTATGGGTCTGTGAATGTTAGTACAAGGTTCGGTCTGAGCCTTTTTCAGTAAATGTATCCATATGCAAGTTATCGCCATTTGATGAGTGCACAGAGCTTGAGTATAATCTGGCACAGGCAGAGGTTCTTTTTCCGGATAAAGAAGATCGTACAATTTTAGCACGGGCAAGAAATTCGATAGTGGATTTCGTTGAATACTGCCGGAAATAAATTGTAGAAGAACCCACATTAAATGGTCTCTACCTTTTCTCAATTCTCTACCTGCTAATTTATCGTGTATCGCCATAACAATACTTGGGAAACAGGCAAATTGAAAGAGAATAAAATAAATAAGTTGTGAAGATAGGTGCAGCCACACCCAGTGATTGGCTACTGTTCCATCCATTCCTTCTGCTGGTAGAGTTTCGTTTTCAGATCGTTCCATCGCGAGTATGACAAGTTCAACAAGTTGTTCCTCCAAGACAATGCATCGTTGCTTGTGCTATTGTATAAATAAAAATTTATTAATTAAGAGTTAAATTAAAAGTTATATTATATCTTCTAATATATAGTTTTAAACAATATAATTTCAGTCAAGCAAAACTAATGGAAAAAAAACTATAACATGAATATTTCTTATTACATATCCGGATTACAACTTTATTTTTATTTCTCAATAATTCTTGTGATCCATTTTTCATGTTTTACTTATGCTCTAATTTTGTATTACCTGTTTTTGCAAACCAAGCATCGAACAGACCAT